GGTATGTATTCTTAGGTAAGTATTAATTCAGGTAAGTATTAATTCAGGTAAGTATTAATTCAGCTAAGTATTAATTCATTAACATAGTATAAAGGGTAAGTGCAAAATATATTTCTTAATCTTTAAAACTCGATTAAATTCGGACCCATGTCCTCGACATGCCGGCGGGCCTGCGGCGACGAGACCTGAACCAGGTCCTGCAGTTGCTCCAGAGTTTCCCAAGCCTGGTTAAACAGCCCGCGGATACGCCGTTGGAAAGCAGGAACGGGACGTGGTTGTTGAGCAGCTTTCTTTACTGCTCGTCCGGTCGGTCTGCGTGCTGACTGCGTAGCATTTCCTTGCTCACGCGAGGTTTGGGTCCTTTGACGATTCGGCTTGCGCTTGTCATTGGACTTGCGCTCAGTCTTCTGCGTACGCTCGGTCGGTGTGGAGGCAGATCGGTGCAGCAACGTGTGGTGGGCTAATCCACAGCGGTGACAACTGCCTGAGGAATCACAGGCGCCCGTTACATGAGAGGTCGCTAAGCAATTTATGCAGTAGCGGTGCACTCTAGCGGATTCATAGCGTCCGTCCGGCGTCATGGCCAGAAAGGCGCGGCAATAGCGCAGCGAATGGGTGCGGCAGCACAGTCGGCATTTGCTGAATTCTTGGGGCCTGTAAATACACGTTCGAAGGACATTGTTAGTGGCATGCGGTTGATTGGTGAACTGAGACGAGACAAAATGTGAGAAAGATAGTAGAATGAGTGTAAGGGCATGAGCTACGCGGGTGGTAATAAGCAAAGCTTCGTTATGTTGCGTGTGACGGTTCCGCTTTGGGTGCGAATGTCTACGACGCGAACATTTTGATCGGGAGCGGGATGGAGTTTCGTAATTCGGCCGAGCCGCCACTCGTTGGGGGGAAGGAGATCGTCTTTTATGACGACTAAGTCCCCTTCGTTTAGATTGGTGTCCTGGCCCTTCCATTTGTAGCGCTTATGAAGTTCTTGCAGATACTCACTTTTCCAGCGTTTGCTGAACTGGTGATGGAGTACCCTTAGTTTCTGCCACCTATTTATTAGGGACAGATTTTCGGAGTTCGGCTCAGGAATGGAGAGTAGCGGGGCGCCGCGGAGAAAGTGACCTGGTGTTAAAGCTTGTAGGTCATCAGGGTCTTGTGACATCGGGGATAGCGGTCGCGAATTCAGAACCGCTTCAATACGGACAAGGACAAGTGAAACTTTTCACTGCTGCTTCCCAGAGTCCTCCCATGTGTGTGGCGTACGGAGGAATGAATTGCCATGCGAGACCGTGGAGGGCATATTTGTTGGCAATATCCGCTGAGACTTCCTCAAGAAAGATGGAAAATTCCCTCTTGAGACTTCGTTGTGCTCCTACAAAGGTTTTTCCATTGTCGGACATCACTTTGTGGGGTATTCCTCGGCGTCCGATGAATCGTGTGAAAGCTGCCTTAAAAGATTTTGTTGTTAAATCAGAGCAAAGTTCGAGATGTATAGCTTTTGTGGAGAAACATACGAAAACGCAGACGTATGCTTTGGAGTGAGATGCTCGACGAAGAGTAGAGGTTTTTACCAGGAACGGACCAGCAAAATCAACACCAGTGGTTTGGAATGGGAGCGAGTATGTAGAGCGTTCTGGGGGTAACGCGGCCATCATTTGCGACTTCATATTTTGCTTGTAGATGGTACATGTCTTGCAGTGAAAGATGCATGTCTTGATCTTCTGCTTGAGGCGAGGGATGTAGTATTCCTGCTGGGCCATGCGGATCATCAGCTGCTTTTCGGCGTGTAGTAGTGTTGAGTGGAGGAAAGCGAGAAGGAGAGAACATAGCTTTGAGTTATCTGGTATAATAATGGGGTGCCGCTCATTATAACTGAGGGCGGCGTAAGTGAGGCGTCCGTTAACGCGCAGCAGGCCTGACTTATCCAAAAATGGGTTAAGGGTGAGCAATGGGTCTTTTTTGCTGATTGGGTTTTTCGCTTCCAAGGTTGTCACCGTTTCTCTGTAATAGTTATATGTGTTGAGCATTCCGAATGAGAAGCAATTTCGCCTGATTTATTTCTGCATGCGTTAGAGTGATGGTTTGTGGGACATGCAACCTTTTGGCTTTGTTTACAAACCGTAACATGAATGCTACCACTCGGAGAGCTCTTGAGTAGGAGGAGAATCGGTGTAAGAGATCGGTGCTTACGGCTGCGTGGAATACTTCTATGTGCTTTTGTTCTGGAGGAGATGGGTGATTTGGGGTGACTTTAGGCCATAGTATGGGGGGCTTTGTTAGCCATTCGGGGCCTTTCCACCAGAGAGAGCAGTCTACGAGGTCTTGAGGTTTGGCACCTCGTGTGTCTAGATCTGCTGGATTGTCGGCGCTGCAGACATGACGCCACGTAGCATTGTTGACGTTTTGAAGGATCTGGGATGTCCTGTTTGCTACATACGTCTTCCACATCCAGGGAGGTTTTTCCAACCAAGCTAGCACGATGGAAGAGTCAGTCCACAACGTTAGTTCATGAGAGGGCAGATCTAGTTGGGATCGGATCTGTTTCACTAACTTTGTGAGGAGGACTGCACCGCAGAGTTCCAGCCTTGGGAGAGAATCAGTCTGTAAGGGTGCAACTTTGCTCTTTGCTGCGAGTAGATGAGAAGTTGCAGTTTCGCCATGTTCAACTCTTAGATATACACAAGCGCAAAAAGCCTTTTCAGAGGCATCAGAAAAACCATGCAGCTGGATTGGGTTATCCGGGCTGAATTGTACCCAACGGGGTATCTCAATTTCTTTGATCGCCGAGAGATTTTTCTGGAAAGAGTTCCATTTGAGAAGTGAGGTGGGTTTGACAGCTTCGTCCCAGTCTGTTCCCTCCATCCAGAGCTGTTGGAGGAGAGTTTTCGCTGCTATCATTATGAGCGATAGCCATCCTGCCGGGTCGAAAAGTTTCGCGACAGCTGATAAGATCTGTCGCTTTGTGGCAGTGTTTGTGTCAGGGAGCGGATCTACTGAGTACGAAAACGTGTCTGTGAGAGCGTTCCATTTAATTCCAAGGGTTTTCGTTGAGCTTGCCTCTTGGAATTGGAGAAAATCTGTGTCTAACAGATCAGACTGAGGAATATCTTTCAGCAGTGATTTGTGATTTGCCGTGATCTTTTTCAAGGGGAATCCTGCTGATTTTAGGACATCGATAATTTGAGATATCGATTCCCTGGCTGAGTCCAGATCGTGCCCGCCTGAGAGAATGTCGTCAACATAAGTTTCGTTGACTAAAATTGCCGAGCTTCGTGGGGACTTTTGTTGTGTGTCTTGGGCCAATTGATGGAGTGTTCTTACGGCCAAATAGGGAGCACAGTTAACGCCAAATGTAACTGTTTTTAGTTTGAAGTCTTCTATCGGACTTTCGGGGGATCTGCGGAATAGGATTCGCTGGAAATCCTGGTCTTCCTTGTGGACGTATATCTGGCGGTACATTTTTTCAATGTCGCCATTGAACACATACTTATATAACCTCCATTTGAGAATTATAAGCATTAGGTCATTTTGGAGAACGGGACCTGTGTGCAGTACGTCATTAAGTGAGAGGCCGGAGTGAGAGAGTTTTGACGCATTAAAAACTACTCGGACTTTAGTAGTTTTACTATCAGGTTTAATCACAGCGTGATGTGGCAGGTAAAATGAGAAATATTTACCATCACGTATGATTTCGCGTGACTTTGTGGGCTCCATGTGGTCTAGAGTCAAATATTCTTCGAGGACCTTTGAATATGTGTTTTGGAGTTCCGCTTTCTTCTCGATGCTCCGTTCGATGCTGAGGTATTGCTACTGAGCTGCGGGTCTGGAGTGCCCTAGTGCGGTTGAGTCGGGAAATGTTGACTTGAATGGGAGTTTTACTACGTAGCGGCCGTCTTCTCTCCGATAGGTAGTATTTTTGTACAGCTCCTCGCAAAATTCATCATCGTCTGTGTGAGTGGGAGCCGATGGAATCTCCTCTTGTTCCCAAAATCTTTTGAGTAGATCACCTAGGGAATCTGCTGAGCCTTCAACTACCTGGGTGGAAAATGTTGAGATTTGTTCCGCAACTGGGCCGCTTAATATCCACCCAAAGATGGAGTTTTGGGCTATTAAGCTTCCGCCAACGTTGGTTTTAAGACCTGGAATTAGTATTTTGGGGAGAATGTCGCTACCAATCACCATGTCTATCCTGGCGGGTGCGAAGCAGTTGGGATCAGCTAGAGGCAGCGAGGCGTATTCTTGGAGATCAACGTATGTCACCTTGAATGATGGTAAAAAGTGCGTCAACTGGGGGAGTATTATTGCGTGAGTTGCAATTTTTATGGTGAGATCTGGAGAACATATTGTGAGTGAGCAAATTTTGTTCGCATTCTGAACTGTTCGTCCGCCCATTCCCAATATTTCAAAGTTTGTTTTGGTTGTGGGTAGACCAAGTAGCTTTTGTACACGAGAAGTTACAAAAGTCTTTTGGGATCCTTGGTCTATGAGAGCGCGAATTTGAACGGTCTCTCCTTTGTGGAAGATCGGGATATTTGCCGTAGGGAGTAAAGTTCTTTCTCTACTACTTGAGAAATGTGAGAGCACCTAATCATTATTGCTTTGAGATGCATTTGCTGCGGCGGCTTGGTTAGAGGTACATGGCATTTCATTGTCAATGGTCACCTGAGATGAGACGTAGTTTTTAGTGGGGTTTTTGTTGTTTGGCGTTTGGTATTTCGCTGGAAAATGAAGGAGAGAGTGGTGTCGCTTTTGGCAATACACGCAAGTGAAGTTACTTTTACAATCTCTCTCTGAATGCGAGTATGCCAAACAATTTTTACAATAATTGTTTTCTTTAACGAACTTATTCCGATCATAAACGGATAGTTCTTTGAATTTTACGCAACTCATCATGGAGTGATTACAATTGCATAATTTGCATGAGGCTGGCTTTTTTTGTTCAGTATGGAACGATTGAGTTTTGTTCCGGAAGTTGAACGATTGAGAGGCCGTTGATGATGCCCGAGGAGTGAAAGTGGGTTGAGGCGGTTTTGGTTTATTCGGCCTGTATTTGCTAAGCCGTTCTACAACTTCGTATCGAGTTGTTAGAAATTGGTCCATTTCTGACCAGAGGGGTAACTCTTTTCTTGAGTTTAGAGATTGTTCCCATAACGCTAGGGTTTCGTCTGGGAGCTTTGAGGAGCAGAGATATATGAGCATTGGGTCCCAGCTTTCAGTGGAAACTCCGTTTGCTTTCAGAGTAGAGAGGCAATTATTAATTGTCGTTTGAATTTGTTGAATCTTTTCACCGTTTTCTGTATGTGCGGGCGGAAGGTTGAAAAGAGTTTTAATTTGATTGTCAACGACAATTCTACGATTTTCGTAGCGGGATTTGAGTGCGTCCCAAGCGAGAGCAAAATTGAGATCATTAAGGGCATAATTTTTAATAAGGAGGGCTGCTTTCCCGCGAGTTTTTTGCCTCAAGTGGTACAACTTTTGAGCCTGAGATAATTTGGGGTGATTTATGTACACTGCTGTGAACATGTCCCTAAACGATGGCCAGTCTTCGTATCCTCCATAGAAAACTTCAGTATCACATGCAGGTACTTTCAGAAAATTGTACGAATCGGGTTGGGGTTGGGGCATCATCACAATGGATGTGTTGTCTCTGGTGGGCTCCGAGTTGTGCTGGAATTGGCTGAGCAACTCGTTAATTCTCAGCTTTGTGTTCAACCCGTTGTCGCTGGAGTTGTCGTACGAGGCATCGCATGTCTTCCGGGTCTTCTCATCTGCATTGCTCATCTGGATTGCTTCGTTAGCTGCGTCTACCAGAGCCAGGTATTTGTTGAGGTGCTCCAGATATGTTTTCAGTCCTGCCTCAGTGTGGTCCGTTTCGCTAATGCTCCACCACTTCTCGCAATATTTGTCCAGTCTCGAAATTTCATAAATGAATTTTTTATGGTTGTAAGCGATTTCATCTTCTTCGGCTTGGGATTTCGACCTCGTTCTTATGCCTTGCTGGGTGTGAAGGGATTGGGGTTTTTCCTGCTTGTCTTCTGCCATAATGAGCGAGTTGCGGGGTTAATATGCGTGTATAAATCAACGATGAGACTTTGAGTAGGTAGAGAAAATATTTGGGTGTGTATGTTTTATTATATATATGTGAATATAATTTTTGTGCGTATATTATGTACCACACTATATTGGGTTGTATATTTTTGCTCGGCACTGTCTTTGGATCGTTGCTATTTTCCTGCTCCACACTGTCCTGTCTCAGCGCATCTGAGTACAGTAACCGTTTATAATATTGGTATAGGAGTATACGTGTATATATATTAGGGGTATTCTCGAAGTCTTGCACGATGCACGGATTGCACGAAATGCAAAAATACTATTCCTAATTTCGAACAGTACGAGAGCACCCCATTGCAAAGTGGTAGAATGCATGGGTAGCAAGCAG